GGAGAGTTGATCATGTCACTCCGAGCGGGAAATGGGAGAGTTTATTATGTCACTCCGAGTGGGGAATGGGAGAGTTTATCATGTCACTCCGAGCGGGAAATGGGAGAGTTTATTATGTCACTCCGAGCGGGGAATGGGAGAGTTCGTAGCCCTCTTCTTTTGTTTAACTGCCTTTTACAGTTCACTTTACCTCAGATAATCTGATCAGGATGGAAATAAAATATTCAAACCCTTGTATGGGGAGATCCTACCCAACCTTCAATTTGTTGGGTCAGAGATGCAGCTTTAGAGAATGAGCGTCTCAAATTGAACGCAGTTGGCTTGGCCAAGAAAAATGAGCACAATTACCATGCAAATCTCACCTTCATGTTAACGATCATATCAGAATAAGGCTCTTGAGAAAGACCCTTAACCCCAACTTCTCCAGGGGTGCTGGGTACCGACTTCTCCGGAGCTCTGATCCCCAAAGAACAAAGCATTGGTACATATAGTACCAAATTAGAAATAAGTTAATGGTCAGAAACAACAGGAGAAACAATTATCAAGCTATCAGAGAGTCTGTTTCTCAAAAATACAACTTCATCAAATGACAGGAGAAGTTATTTCGACACATAAATAATTTAAAAGGGGATGTGGCTGTTCTGGGTGGATTTTCCACTTCCTGTGCCATTGCAGATGGTGACAAATGAGAAAGTGCTTGTTTAGCAGTATTCATTGCCTCATACTTCATCTTGAATATTGAGCAGAATTATCCTTTGATTCACAGACTCTAGCTGATCCATCACCTTTAGCAGCTCTCATCTAAGATACATCCTTGCATATTTTCAGTGGACACCAGTTCCTGTAGCTTAACAAGTAGAGCACTGCACTAACAACACAAAGTTTATGGGACCCAATCTGCAGAGAGTGCATACTTAAAGTGTAATCCTTCTCTTTATTGTAAGTTTCTTTGGACAAAAGCATTAGGTAAATGAACCAAACTTTAAGATTTGAGTTCATGTGGTGAATGCTGAAAAAAAGATGATGTGTTTTGGTATCCAATGTGCAACAAGAGAGGCTCTGATATACCTCTAAGTCTCCTGATCCAGTTGCAGTGGTCGGGATTCATGTCCTAAGAATGTGTTCCAGTTAGAACAGGGAAACTCATTGTTCTTTTAGTTTATCTCAACATGTTCCTCTGTGTGTGTGTGTGTGTGTGTGCGAGCGGCTATACCTTACCTTATGGGGACACAATGTCCCCACAACGTGATGAATATCTGTTTTTTTTTCCCCTTATGGGGACCAGTTTCCTGAAAACTCAATTTTAAAAAAATCTGTGACTACAATGAAAAACATTAAGATGCAAAAACTCTTGTATTTTGCTTGGTTACTTATGGTTATGGTTAGGGCTGGGTAAGGCTTAATGTTCCCAAAGAAATTCATGAGCTGTCCCCATAAAGATACGTTTACCCGAGGGTTGGCCCCCAAAAGACTGCACGGTAGATGCCAGATTTAAGTCAGGTATTGGGGAAACAGCTTGCAAATTGACCTTCAGATTATAAATGGGTTTCCTGTGTCAGACATAAGGCTGTGGAGGATGAGAGTGCCGGTCCCCCCCCACCTCAGTTAGGATCGCCAACTACCAGCAAGGCTGGAGCCACTTCATGTTAGCACCTCCGTGTCGAGAAACTTGATGGACAATTAAGCCACCTTCCACCCCAGGGAGAATCAACACACCAAACAATTACCTACCAATCACTGCCTACCAGGCCCTACATTCCATTTTCTGTGTTGTTCATTGCAGTTTGTCGGTGGTGAAAAAAGGGTTGAAAACAATTTATCATACCTGGATTTCATTCAGTACTGCAAATGAGTGGCCTTTGTTTGGTGATAAAAGATATTTGAACTCTGCGGTTTTGATAGAAAAATGATCAGGAATATTTTGTTTGAATCATTTGAGCTTAAACATTGCGGAGATCACACACACTATGCGAGGCCCCGAAATTCAAAAGCCCCTCACTTCCATAACTATTGTATGCTTGGGCTGAAGACGAGCAGAGGAGCACTTAAAATTGTGAAAAGTGTGAATGGAAACAAACCCCGTAGGTTGACCAGACTGCAGGTTGGGTCACTGCAAAACTTCTTGACACCAGGGTGTTGCCCCCACCGGGAGTGAAATGGCAGCATGGAACCTCAGACATTCCGTGGTGTTCAGCAGGTAATGGCTCGCATATGCATGGACAAAGAAATGGGGGGTGGGGGGGGGGGTTGGTGAATGTTTCACAATAGGCTGAACTTTACTGATCATGAATTATGTGATCTGGGTCATCTGGGCACCAGTTATCTAACAGGAAAGAGTTTTATCAGGAGAGAGTTTTATAGAGGGTTAAAAGAGTGACGGGCAAACATTACCCTCACAAAGAGCTATAAAGTCACAAAGCCCATTCAGGAAAAATCCATGAATGAATTAAGCAAATACGGAAACCTCTGGCAGTCCGTTTATACGCATGGATGCATTGCCAGACGTCAAAGTGACGGCCCTCGAGCCACCTTCACGCGCTTTGGGGCTCAGTGCTAATGCCAATGTTCAACATACCCAGAAATGAGACGCTGGGCTCAGTCTGTTGCATTGACGTTGCTACAAACAGCACTATGCGGTCTTTGCCAGGTGGATTTACCTGGATGCACGAGGGAACAAAGCTCTTTTTTCTCCTCCCAATGACCTCAACGTGATACTTGGGGTCTTGTGCAACAATGGAAACCCTCTCGATCACCTTTAATTAAATGGCTGTTCAGTAGGATAAAGACTTGTAGAGTGGAGTGATAGTGAAAGTGGAAATATGGTGTGACTAGTGGGTGGGTTAGCCTCACACTTCCAGAGGTGGAGACACAAATCCCATGTTCAGCTCCACACGTGGGCCATTTGCCGCTTGTTTACACATTCCATCTCCCCTGATCTCAGAAGCATTCAGCTGGTTAAATGGACATCTATGAATTATCCTTTGTGTGAATCTCAGCACCCTGCAATAGACTGGCATTCTGTTTAGGTCCAGTATCAATTGGTTCCAGTGACTGGTTGTAGGGATAGGTACTTTATAAGTATTTCTGGAAAGATTATGGGTAAAACTCTGTAATATATACTAAACACTCATATGGCCATTGACGGCAAGCAAGCGGCGCTGACTTTCTGAATGCTTTTGTCAGAGCCACACTAGCAAAATGAACAAAGTCAGTTACCTTAGGATTACACATAATAATAAAAATCATATATATATCTCTCATTATCACAGGATACATCCTAAGCAATTGTCCATTACCTTCTTTAAAAATGTGATATTACACATGTTCCCAGTGCATCTTATTCTAAAACAGCCATATAGGTATGTCCGCTTAAAAAAAGAAACACAACACTCAGTTGGCACATGATATAGCGACTACTTTTTGTGTTATTTGCATGTCAGTTTGCAAATTACTCAGAACCTGCTGAATACCATTTGGAGCCAAGTACCTGGAGATACCCGCCATTGGTTTGCAGCTCACCTGGCTACCTGGAGAAACTCCCGGGGAGCATTTTCTTTCTCCAGTTAGATGTACAACCAAATCCACAGAATTTAAGAGAACAGATGCATGTGTAATTTACCTGCTAAATCTGTTCATTGGGTTGTTTAATAAGTCACTGCAGGCCCCTTCAAGCCAACAGCTACTGGGGCACTGGGCTCTGGCTGACCCTGTGATTTGACCCCAAAGCTCATTCACACCAAGGTTCTTCTGTCCGTAGATGAAGTATGAATATCTACACAATTTTCCCACAAGCATGTGCAGACTGACCAAAAGTCGGCAAAGAAAAAGCAGAATAGAGGAAATGCACAACCAAAAGACAGACATACACAAGTTTTTCTGGTTCAATTTTATTGCAAATACCAGAAAGGAAAGATACTGAAAATTTTAAAATAGAACCCTAGTAATATAATAGTTAACAAAAAAAAAAAAAAAAAAAAAAAATCAGTAAATTAAAAAATATTTATACAAGTATTATTACAAAAGCAAAAAAGTAACTGAGGTAGACAGTACATGTACTGAACACTTCCCGTCAAGGTGCAAGAGGAACACCACCCAGAAAAGGGGGCAACGCCAAACAGTCAAAATATTCAAATATGGGACACAAATATTAATCTAACTGGACGGAATGACCATGTGAGAGAAATCCACCCAGTAAATAAAAACTACTATACATTCTCATTATATCAGTTCTCCCCAGGAAATGGTCGATAAAAAAAATACAAAATAATAAAGTTATACAGATACACACTCATCTGGAAGGGAGAAAATGATCACCATACAAAAAAAGTGTGAGTTTACAAACTCAACACACTCTCACCTTGATTGGATCAAAATAAAAATGGTAAACCACTGAAATGGTGGACCACGTCGGTTTGGGAATTAAAACTAAATGTCTTTGGCAACTGTGAAATGAGAATCAAAACCGGACACTAGTGTGCGTCCCAACTTGAATGGGGGGGGGGGGGGGAGACCTCAAGCACACTGCTTTTCAGTAACGATCAGTGGGAGGGCCAAAGCTTATCACCCAGGAGCTTCCACTGGTCCTTGCCGTGTGCGAACAGCACATACACACAAAGTCTTTTTGAGCCCTCTATAAAGTCCACATGCCTGTCTCATGACTACCTCAGCTGCTCCAGTCTGCGTCTGAGCTGCTCTTGTTTCTGTGCCAGCCTGTCCTGCCTAGCACACAGTCTCTGGCTCTCAGCCTCCAGGCTGCGGATGCTGTCTCGGGCCTTCTTTAAGATCACCACCTTGGACGCCTTGTCGTTGTGCGACAGCTCTGGGACGTGGTCGCGCAGCCGCAGGAAGCAGTTTTTCAGCTCGTTGCGCCGCTGCCTCTCCATCACGTTGTGCGTCCTCCTCCGCTCCTCTTCATCCTCCATCTCGGCCGCCTGCCGCACCACGGAGCCCCGCGTGCGTCCCACGGGGAAGGGCTGCCGATGTGCCTCGCCCCGCGTCCGCTTCTGCTGGAGGGGGGCGGCCTCAGGTCGGCGTGGCGATGCCGGGCACGGGGCTGCATAATTGTGCTGCATCTGTATCTCCTGGTGGCGGCGTTTGATGGCTCGCCGCCGTGCGCGGTCTTCTGCCTGCTGTGCCCGCAAGACGGCGCCGGGCCGCTTCACTGTTACAACATCTATTTCATCTTCTGCAGAGGAACAAAAAGACACGTGCATAACTAGAAGCTCAGAGCAATGTGCCCGATGAAACACTCACAGAATCAGATTACATTCTCTACACTCCATATAATCTGTCCAACCACCCAACTTTAATAAGTATAATAATAAGATAATAACTTCTTTATTTTTTAAATTCCTCCAACATCTATAAAACAAAATCTAAAAATAAAAGACTTGCTCACCAGAATCACTAGTAGATGATTCACTCCCCGTGGACATGGAACTGAAATCAGAGGAGGATTCCCTCTGCTCCCTGCTGTCCTCGAATAAATCCTGGTCCTCCAGAGATCGGCACTCTAGCGCCACGTCGTGGCAGTGAAGCGTGGAACCGGCAATCTCCTCGAAAATGGTGGTATCAATGTCCGAAAGAAGAGGGCTGGTGGACAGCACGGTCGACAGCTTTTCATCCGCGGATTTCTCACCGCCAAAGCGCCACAAGCAGTCCTCGGACTCATGTGAACGTTGCTCCTCGCTCCCGCCGGCGTCTGCGGCTTCTACATCGCGGTCCCAGCTGAAATCCTCCAAAAGCAGCTCCGACACGAACTCTAGCTGGTCAACCTTGGACCACGGCTTGATGAGCCCGGTCTTTGTAGGTGGAGACTGGGGCGGCGTGGGGAGCATCTGCAGATCCTTTAGAAGTATCTGACAAAACTCCTCATCAAACAGCAGCGGCTCCGAATCACAGTCCCAGTCGTGCGTCGGGGTAAAACTTTGAAGCATTTTCGCAGTTGGGGAAAAAACTACCTGGGAAAAACAATAGACATACAAATATAAGCTTTATATCGCGACTGGAAAAATATTCCAACAGGCTCTCGCTAACCAACAATCCTCCTTCCCGCGAGCAACTAAATTGAGCCCGGTCTTCCAGCCCTCCCGCAGTCACGCCGGCAAGCTAAACCCTTTTATGCATGTTTACATTAGTAGCCACGCCCATTGCGGGCGGAGCCCATGCGCTACAACGCGAAGTCACGCCCACTTGGGGGACGCTGTAGAGCCGTACTTCTTTAATGTAGCTCGAATAGCCGGAACGATCTACTTGAAGGCGCTAAATTTGGTAAACGGCTGTGAAATGCAGCTAGTTCACCATACCACTGCGGCATGCAATTCGGCTAAATTAGTCATTAAAATAATTACCCACAGGTCAAATTCTTTTAAATAGGCGTAATCGGATTACGTTTAAATAGTTACCATCTAGTACAAAAGACAATAGAAAATATTCTTCTGCAATCTATAAAATTTTATACAAAATCAGCTAACAGAGATCAGCCACATTTAAAGCATGTAAAATGCTATGTAGGCGCCTCACCAGGCCAAAAAAATGCCGGGAGAAGTACATCATGCCGGATTTGGCAAATGATTTAGTGGGATGAGTGAAGTGAGCCGGTCACTGCAAGTAGCCTATCTATAGGACATGCCAAGCGGAAAAACGTGCCAAGCCAGTTTATTACTTACGACGATACTCAGGCTCATTTTCTTTTTTTTAAAAGACGATTTATTTATTAAGTCGTGTACATGAATGATCTTCAAATATTAGAAATATCTTACCTTTTCTAAAGAGAAAAAATATGAATAGCCTGCGTTGAAATAAGCTGTCAAGATAAGAATGCGTAGCTATCTAAAAGAGTCACAAGTTGTCCAAGTAAAAAGGTGTAGAGAAAATCATTTTTTAGCCAATGCCGACAAATTTCTATGCACCCATCCACATGCCGCTTCCCCGGTAGGTGTGGTCGGTAAAAAACCTCCCCACAGTATTAGTACTAAAGCGGGCAATGTTCCGCCCCACCGCAATTTCGCGCCAAATCTCTAATTCCAACAATAGAGCAGAGCGTGCCGATTTTTACAACTCTAATTAATTGTCAGATTACGTCAATTCATAGGGTCGCAGTCGGAAGGTGAGGATCCGGACCGACGTCCCGGCAAAGCCGCAGATACGTGGGTGTAGGTCCTTTCGGCGGATGGATCCCGGTCGCAAGCGCGCGCTAGTGAAATTCCAAGAAAGCGGTAGCTGAGAACGCGTGCTGAAACGCCGGGTGGCTGGGGGCGGGGGGACGAAGGCGGCTTAGTATCCGCAAAGAAAAACACCCCCGGAACGAAATGTACTTTCGGCAGGCGTACTTTGACTCTTGGTGGGACCGCCGTGCGTTCCGGTTCACAGAAAAGCACTCGTCGCTATTAAGACTTGGCGTTATTTTGTGCGATTCACGGACACTCAGACTGTCTTTCGTTATATAGGTGTCTTTGTGTCGCTTGTCGCAGGACCGGTCCGCTTGTAACCCGAGTCCGCCGGCGTCCAGCATGTATTGATTGCACAAAGAAGAAAATGCTGGCTAGACTGAATGTGGGAGCAATGCATAAATCAAGCAGCTGGAACATGCAGTTCGGTTCAAAATCATACTCCTTGAAAGCCTGTTAAACATACTTCCAACTTGTGCTTCGTTATTTTTAACTCAAAAGATATATAACATGTCAGAAGCTGTTGTAAATTACCAAAATAAACCACCACTATTCAGAACACTTGGAAACCCATTTAAAGGTAGAAATGTTTTAAATTGGAATACGATTCTGCTGAAAAGACTTTAATTCAGCAGGTACCTGGACTAAGGGTCATACATCCAGCATGCCACGTATGCTGTAATATCCGATACATTCGACAGTAATTAATGGACACTTAGCATATATACTTTAAACTGTTGATACGGGTTAGTATTGTTTCACTAAACAAATAAAATGAATCGTTTCAATTCGTTCGTTGATTAAACAATTGCATAAAGCCTCCGCTGCAGACGTGGTCCCTTTTTGGTTGTATTAGGCAATCATTTTATCCTACTCACTTTATAACGCAACACTTCAGCTGTTACGCAAGTCTGATTCTGTGGGCTAAGTAATAAATGGGATGTTAAACAGGCAAAAGCTTTCGCACCTGTAGGTATGTAGTTAGGTGTTCAGTTCAGAAATTGCCTACATGCACGCTGCAGCACGATGTCTAATGGTTTCACTGTGAACACTGCTGTAGATTTTGTTCCAGCAGCATTTTTACTGATTAGGTTCTATTGAAATATTGCACCTATTCTGTTTTGTTTTCACATGTGCTATCCATTAAAGAATGAAAGTGGCATGTCCATAAAATGTAGTTAAATTTGTGTTCAAATGATAACGTAGAATGTACAGTTTCAGAATTCAACATTATAATGCATTTGTTTTATTACTTTTTTATCAGGACGTACAAATTGTAATCAGTACTAGATATTCACTATACATTTACTGTACACTTGTAAGAAGTGCACACAATGAAATATATAAATTATTATATAACCTCGTGGTTTTCTTTGCAAATGATTTGGAAAGATTGTCAAATGTTTCTGAGACACTTCTTGTTAATTTATCTGGAACAAATGCCAATATTGATGTGTATGTTTGGGCACAATTCTAACCCTAAGCAGTAAACCACTGTTTGCAATGAAGGCATTTCCCCTGTTATCATTTCTAACTTGATTGACTTGATTAATCTTGTTTAATGTTGTAGATGGTACAATAGCTTTCAGTATCAACTCCCTCCTGTGCGCTTGGAGGTTCAACTCCCACCTCTGCTTTGTGTGGAGTTTCCATGTTCTTCCCATGATTTTATGTTGGCTTCCTCTGGTTACCTCGGTTCCTTCCTGTTTTACAAAAACATGCAGTTAGCCAAATTGTCATCTCTAAATTGCCCGTAGCGTGCTTGTGTGTGTTCTGTGGAGGAGTGATATCATCCAGGCTGTTCACATGACTATGCTACAATCTATTGTGTGTGTCTTTGTGTACATATGCATAAAAAATAGCAGGAAAACATGCTGGTGCTGAATGTGTCACTCTGTAAATTGGAAGCACTAGGTTTATGCATTCAAGTCCTGCAGTGGCCCTTTGAATGCAGCTTGTGTAGTTCCCCTGTGTTCTCATGGGTTTCCTCAGTGTGTTTCAGTTTCCATTCCAAAGGCTGTGACATATATAACATGGTATATCCATCTTCTACACCACTTATCCATTAGAGGGTTACTTTGATAATATGATATATACAATGTGTCACTTAATTTTTTTTCCTTCCACTGTTCTTGGATTCTTTTGCATATAAGTGCTCATGCTTTTGAGTTCACAAAAAGAGATTATTTTCTTGCTGTGAATATTGATGTTGTGATGTATTTTTTTGTCATATGTCTATGGTTTTAAAAATGAATATATTTTTTTAACTTTTACCGTATCTGAAAAAACTGTCAGATTCAGTTTTGTGTGTTAATTTTAAGCCTTTGATTATTATATTTCTATTATTCTATTAAGTGATTAAGTGTCACACCACAATGTAACGTGTCCTCTGTGTTTAACCCACATATGACATAGAGGTGGGCAGCTATTATTTTGTGCCTGGGGAGCAGTGTATGGGGGCAGAGTATGGAGGCAGAGTATGGAGGCAGTACCTTACTGGTAGGGAATTCAAACCAGCAGCCTTTTGATCTCAAGTGTGCTTCCCTAACCATTAGGGCATCACTGCCCCCCCCCCTTTATTTGCCAAAATATTATGCACTCCTTCTTGTAAAGGTACAAACAGCTATAGGTGTTAGCTGGTCTTCTACATGCAGATGTGCTCTTGAGAAATGAATTTAAAACTTTTAAATACTGGAGAACTGAGAACTTTCGTTGGCTGCAGTTTAAGAGTGAAGCGTCTATCAGACATAGTGGAACGTTCCGCTGCTCTGTAATATTCCACGGATAAGAGACTTTCAGACCTAAGATTTTCCAATTTGGAGTTCTTGTTTTTTTCCTGAGGGCCACTTTAATGTGGCGTGTGTAATGCATGGCTACCACGCTTTCTGGGAGACATGAGAGAGACCAGTTATGGAAAGGTATACATACCCAGACAGTCCGCAGCTCGAGCCGGCAATGGCTCCCATATGTCACTACAGAGTGAAACAACACAGCCAGGCTACTCAGAGAAGAGAGCGAGACGGTGGCCGATGTGGGCATCCATTTTAATAAGAGAGGGTCCTTCTGCTTTCTGTGTCTTTTTGCATGCTATGGCATTTTGCTATGGCATTTTTGTCGGTAGGGTGTCTGGGCTTGCATTGAAGAGGATTTGTGCACAGCTAGTGTGTCATATATCTGTTTTATTCCCACCAAGGGGAAATTAAGAATAAAATCGATGTGGTAGGAGCAGATTGGGTGACTCCCAATTTCGGCAGTACAATGAATCTCTGTCAGATCACATTTAAACGGTTGGGCCCCCTCTGTCCATCAATCATCAGAAAGCACTTATTTGGTCCAGCATCATGCCTATCCTTGGAAACAGAACAAATACACACAGCTGCACATTATGGGCAATTTGGAGTCACCAATTCCTCTAATTTCATGTACGTGAATAGAGGTGGATAAAGCTTGAATAGCCTGAAGTAACCATAAGCAGTGCAAACGATGCCAGAGGCAGTATTCAAACCCTTGACCCCCAGAAGTGTGACACTGCAGTGCTGACCACTGCGCTGCATGGTGGGGGGTGGTCTTGCCTTCATTTCGCATACCATCAGTGCTTCACAAAACAGCAACAGATTACTACAGTAGCTGAAGGAAGGGTGAATGGATTCGAGCGTTTTCGGCAGTTAGCGTGTTCCGCAGGCCGGCTGGTTCCCGGAAAGCAGCTCCATGTTACTGCCGAGTCAGCTTCTGGTTAGGACGTACAGTGGTTTGTAACGCTGAGATCTGCAGCATGATTTCGCAAGGGAGGAGTTCCACGCGCCCCCCTCCCCACGTCTCCTCTGAGTCTCCAGATAACATGCCTGTTCCAAAAAGAAAAATGCCAGTGGCTCCAAGTGGTAGGGGTGGGGCCCTAAACCACGGCCATCTTTAACGTTTGCTGGGGGGGGGGGAGGGGTGATGGGTGGGAGTGTTGTGGAGTAGAAAGCATGCTGTGTTGCCTGTGGCTTTGTGATAGGGGCTTCAAGCCAGTCGTAGATGCCCTTAGGGCTCTCCACAGTTTTTCTCCTTAGAGATTACCACTCTGGATTTGCATATCTGTGTGTCTGCAGTGAATAACTGATCCTCCTCCAGAGAAGTTTGTCTCAAAGGTGTTACCTGGAATTTAAGGTTTGCTGGAGAATGGTGACTGCCCCCACGCTGCACCCTGCGCATTAAATTTGCTATAAGGGTCATTTTTGCTAAACTCACAGGTTTACTCAGTATAAGAAATATTCTGTTTAAGCCACAAAGGTACCCCCCCCCCCAATTCATAGCGCACCTATTTAGAATATGTGAAAAAGTTTTTTTTTAGATTGCATGAAGAGCTAAAACTTATCTAATTTGATATGCTTTGTCCTCTAAGGCAAAGTGGTTGAGAACCTGAAGGTGTCCTGATTTCTTTGTTTGGTTACAGTTCAACATTTCTGAGTCATCATAGGTCAGTGGTCTAACTATCAGAGTTAAACCTTTTCCAATGTAATATTATTTATTTTAAATATGTTACAGGGTTATTTTTTCAAACGCCTTTTGATGCCAAAACAGCAAGTATTAGCGTGATCAGTCAATTACTGAGAAATGTCACTTGGTATTAGGATCACAGCTGATAACTGATAACTGTCTGATTTTCACACTTTTTTGATTAACATCTAACACAGAAACCAGGTGTGGGTTCTGGCCACATGATGACTAATCTATAAATCTCAAGATCATGAACAGCATAGAAATATGGAAACTAGAGGTCCTTAGCCATCGAAGGGTTTGTCTACACTCCTTAACACCAGTGGGGCTCCACCTTCATCGCTAAGGTGGTGATCTTGCGGTGTTTTCACAATTCAAAATGGTCGCAGTTTTATAATGGATTAACTTTGTTTTGGTGTTCTAGAACCCGTGTTTAATTTGCAGCTGAAGATAGCAAGTACCTGACTGAACAAATTGTGACACAACCAAATTAGCCTTTTTTTTAATCTCATTGTGGAGGCTGTTAGTGGTTTACAGGG